ACTCCCATCCGGTCACATGGGCGGCAAGCCACTCCCACAAAGGAGGCCACACCCACAGAGTAGGTTCGAACAATTTTTGAAACCCACCACTGCGGGGAGGGGAGGAGAGTAAGTACACTGAAAAAGCCAAGGGAAAATAAAGGGAAAAGGGCTTCTGGGGAAAATAAAGCAAAGCTGCAGAAATAATTGCCTCCCGTCTTTTATGCCCTATCTGTGATTTTTTTGCACCCTTCAGCACAAGTCAAGAGAATAAATACAAGGTGGAACCAAGATTGATTTTCACTGTTAGATGTTACTTAGATCTTGGAATTCGGCTATGGAAAGTAATCTCTTTGGTAAATAGTATCCTCCATCCATTTTAATGCATTTGTGGGCCCACAGCACTTCTTTAAAAGAGAAAGCATGATGATACATGGTTTAAGGAACACTGGCAAATATGTGACTTTATTATTTAAAATTAGGACACGGCTGAGCTGTTTTTCGAAGATGTCCGCTTGCCTGCCAGCGCACTCCTTGGCCAGGAGAACAAAGGCTTCTATTATCTAATGTCGGAGCTTCCCCAGGTAAGACAGGCACGGAGCCACACAGGGAGATAAAACCACCCCAAAGAATAACACAAAGGCATTGTTCGTCATTGCTGCTATCTGCCAGCAACAGATTATACTGGATGACATTTGAGCTTCTGTGGAAGGCGTTGATACTACCTACTTACTGATTTGAGGGTGGGAATCTTGCACCCAGAATTGCATTGTTATTTTCTCTTTCAAGGCTAATACGGGAGGAAAAGATTGGGGAAAATATACTTAGTGATGTTTACATTTTAATATTAAAATATATAGTAACGGTTCTGATTCCTATTCTATAACTGTTGTACAGAGACTTGTAGAAGCAAAACCTTTTTTGCTTCCTCCTAGATGTCTTTTCCTCTATTTCTGTGAATAGTAATAGAAAGCCTTGGTGCTCTCTTTGTGGACTTCAGTAATAGAAACATGATACCTGTGTAATATCAGGAAAAGCTACCTCCCTGTCATTAGCTTTCAAAGAGGAGGAAATTGAAGATTTAAGAGACTGCAGTTGAGTCTGTTTTGAGTTCAATACCAAGTTGTTGAAAACAGTTTAAAAAGGGACCTTTTCTCTCGGCGTCCACAAAATAGAATTAATTCTTCAAAATATTTCATTTTGCTCGGTTCTATTTAGGTAGGCATTTGTCTCTATATTCTGTTTTGGTTTTCCCGTCTCATAATTTTTTGCATGGGAGGGGTATAATATAGGTAATCCTCGGGTTACAAGCATTCCCTTAGCAAACGTTTGAAGTTACTTGACAAATCCTGAAATTACGAACCTTGCAGTTGTTTGCCCTTACAAACAACCCCAGACACTCTGCAATATTCGTCCTGGCCTATTGCAGGCCAAAATGGAGCTCCCGGGGGTGGATCTGCCCCTCCAATACTCCGTTCGAGCCTCTGTGGGTCTCCTCCGGCCCATTGCAGGCTGAAATGAATCTAGCAGGGGGTGAATTCGCCCCTCCGATACGGGGGGGGGGGTGTCGGTCTCCCCAAAGCTCCATTTTGGCTTGCAATAGGCTGGGGAAAGCCTGTGGGGGCCCAAATGGAGCCGCGGAGCTACCTTCGGAAGCTCCATTTCGGCCGGCAATGCGCCGGGCAAGGCTTGCAGAGGTCCAAGCGGAACTCTAGAGGGACATACGCAGCCGAGAGGCTGGAGAGGAGACTGCTTGCTAGAGCTTCACAAAGTAAGTGACCTGGTGTGGCAGGCGGGTGGGGGAAGGAAAAGCAACTGTGGGGAGCATGAAGTATTTTAGTGGGTCGGGGAGGTCTTGGGTGGTCTTAGGCAGGTGTCCTGTTCCATCACTAGGCCCACCCACGGCCTTCCCCATTCTGGAATACCTCATGTGCACTTAACAAGCCTCGCATTCAGTTAGTGAATGTGTGGGTAAAAGGAGGCTCGAGTGATCTCATTCAAGGTATGAGATTCCCTTCCATGAATCCTCGAGTTGCGAATGGAATGGGCAGACTCCACTACATTTGCTAAGAGCCAAGGTGGCGCAGTGGTTAAATGCAGCACTGCAGGCTACTGCTAGATCAGCAGGTCAGCGGTTCAAATCTCACCGGCTCAGGGTCAACTCAGCCTTCCATCCTCCCGAGGTGGGTAAAATGAGGACCCGGATTGTTGTTGGGGGCAATATGCTGACTCTGTAAACCGCTTAGAGAGGCCTGAAAGGCCTATGAAGCGGTATATAAGTCTACTGCTATTGCTATTGCTATTGCTACATTTGTAACTCAAGGACTACCTGTACTGGAGGTGCTTTTTGAGTATTTCTACCTGAATCTTTCCTTTGGGAGTATTATTTTCTGAATAAGATTTATGTTTTCACGTAGGAAACCAAAGATATTCAACAGTTCAAGAGGTTCATATGCATCTACACAGTAGCACTAAGTAGAGAATGAGAGTACTAAGCTGACACATATTAGCAATAGCAATAGCAGTTAGACTTATGTACCACTTCATAGGGCTTTCAACCCTCTCTAAGCGGTTTACAGAGTCAGCATATCGCCCCCAACAACAATCCGGGTCCTCATTTTACCCACCTCGGGAGGATGGAAGGCTGAGTCAAGCTTGAGCAGGTGATATTTGAACCACCGAACTGCAGCTTAGCAGTCAGCTGAAGTGGCTGCAGTACTGCACTCTAACCACTGCGCCACCTCGGTATTATGTACGCTTCAAGTCTGTTCATAGATTCATCTCTCAATTATTTTATGACCTATTCAAAATACGTTCACATTGGATTGTATACTCATTAATCTGCAGACAGACTGAATTTCAGATTGATATCTTAAAAGAGTAGTACCGGTTAAGAGCAATTTTGAATTTTTTCCGCCATGCATGAATTTTTCCTGTTGTACATATTTTTACCCTGCATAAAATGTATGTTGATGTTACAGGCCAGAATATTAAATATTACAATTGCAATATTACAATTTTGAGAGCTTTTCTTTCCCCAGCCTTGCATTTAAGATATCAGACACAAAAGTGTACTCAAAGCAGAAATTAAGATCTACAGTAGATGTAATTACAACGTTGATTTAGACCTATATACATCTTTATAAACCAGAAAAGTTTTTAAAGCCAGAGATACAAAGACAAGGAGGGGGGTATTTAAAAGAAGACTGTATAGAGAAATAATGATATTTTTTTCCATTTAATAATGAACATGTTTGAGAATTTCCTTTCCCCCCTTATCTCTTAAGGAAAGGCTCTTGATCGGTGATATTGCGATTGCTAGCTGTGAATTCATGTTTGAAGAAACAAGAAACTATGTTAAACAACGAAAAGCTTTTGGGAAAACAATTTCACATTTACAGGTGAGAACTTGAGAATATTTGCTTCCTCAGTAATACTTTTTAATTTGAAATACTTTTTGTTTTGTTTTTCGATTTGGGGTGCCATACCTGGTTGCCTGGTCATCTAATGAACAATCAACATCCAGAAATCTTTCTTTTGATTTCTAGCTAAGGGCCGCTATTTGTCCTTATGTTTTTAGGACTCCTGGGGATTTTTGTTGTTCCACGTATGCAGATTATATCCAGCTTTTTGTTCTTTTAGAAAGTGACCTGAAGACTTTCTGAAGTTTCTCAGTTTATCACTTAAAAACAGAAATAGCCCTATGAAGGGCATTGTTATATCTGATCCTTATTCATTAGGCTAACAGTTAAAAAAATAAATGGATTTCTGATACTTTGAAAGGCAGTTGAAAGCCATAATTATATTTTTCTTTGCAAGCATGTCCTGGTGCTGAGGGTGGAATTCTATGTTTATAATTCTGCATAATGAAATTTTCATTTCTAGATTTCTTAGGGATGGGGAAAAGACTTTAAGCCAGTTTATAATATCAATATGTGTGTGGACTTCCTTTTTTCTTCTTCTTCAAATTCCTGACTTGGAAAAGCAGAAGAAATTCAATTTCAGAAATAATTAGTAGTTTTCTGACACTCCTGAGGTGTTTTTTTGAGAAATGAATATGGGAGGCAGCTATACTTTGAAACGTGCTCAGTAAAAATATTTTTCAAAAGAAAAATGGATTACCACTTTTTGGTGAACTCGCTGGAGGAAAGAATGCATATTAAATAGGGAATAGTTTGGGAGGCAATGAGAATTGCTGGTCAGGACAACTTGGGGGAGGAGATGGGACTGAGCAGAGAGACACGTGAGAACACAATGCTAGAAGGAAGTTGGATGGCAGATAAAAGTAGAGATAGGGGTAAAAATTAACTGCGTAAAATTGCCCTTCATATGAAATTAATTATGAGTATAATAGGAAAAAAGAAAAATAACATTGATGTTCTTTCTAGGTACAAAGCCGACGTACTGTCAAAATTAATTAGATCTAAAATGCTTCTGTTCATGATCACCTTTACTGATCTGGTTAAAATTTACAGTTATAAAAGTTTTGTGTTGTTAAACTGAAGTTTAAACTAGGATTTTGAAAAAGATGCGTTATTATTACCACTGGTGATAGTGAACAATACAACTGTCTTCACAGAGATAACATCCTTTCGCAGTCTAATATATAATTAATACTGTAACTAGTAAAGTCAGAAAGAATTGCGGTGGGGTTCCACTCCCCACAAAATACAGGTAGTTCTTGACTTAATCCATTCATTGAGTGACCGATCAAAGTCACAATGGCACTAAAAAAAGTGACTTGTGAGACTGTTTTTCACATGACCTTTGCAAGCATTTCCATGGTCACTTGCTCAAAATTCAAATGCTTGGCTACTGGCATGTATTTATGACAGGGAAAAATCAATGGGGAAGCCAGATGTATTACTAATTTAACAAGAGCCGAGGTGGCACAGTGGTTAGGGTGCAGTACTGCAGGCCGCTTCAGCTGACTGTTATCTGCAGCTCAGCGGTTCAAATCTCACCAGGCTCAAGGTCGACTCAGCCTTCCATCCTTCCGAGGTGGGTGAAATGAGGACCCGGACTGTGGGGGCAAGTTGCTGACTCAATTTGCTAAAAAAAAAATTGTAAACCGCTTAGAGAGGGCTGAAAGCCCTATGAAGCGGTATATAAGTCAAATAAATAAATAAATAAATAAACAAACAAACAAACAACTGCAGTGATTCACTTAATACAAGAAAGATTGTAAAATAGGCCAAACTCACCTAACTGTCTTGCTTAGCAATTAAAATTTGAGGACTACCTCTAAATATTAAGGCTTAAAATGTTGTTGTTTTTTTACATAGTTTTAATGTGATTAAAGTGTTCATGTGCTTTAGACCAGTGAATACATTTTAAATTTTGATGAATTTCTATGGACACTGTCTTTAGAGATAAAAGAGTATTTTGCAAAATATTGCCAACTATTATGGAGATATAATTGGGAAGTTCATAATGTGTTGCAAGTATTGAAAGATAACACCTTGTATCTTTTCTTTTCCAATTGGAAGACTGTGCAACACAAGTTAGCAGAATTGAAAACACAGATTTGTGTAAGTCGGACATTTTTGGATAATTGTATTGATCTTCATTCACGGAAATGCCTGGATTCTGCTACTGCTTCAATGGCTAAATACTGGTATGTCTATTAAGAACTTAATGTCATATATATTTGTTCTAAATCTGAATAGTGACAAAAATATAATCTTATATTGTAGTCAAGAATTGTAGGGACAACCTCCAGCTGACGTCATGGCGAGATTGGGCGTGAGGAGTGGGTCTCTGCGCTCCCGCACTGAGTTCTCCCCATTGGAGGGCTCTGAAAGGAGCTAAAGCCACCCTGTAGGGGTGGTGAAGAAAAGAGGGGTGCCCTGCAGGTTGTGGAGAGAGCAATTCTCCTGCTTGACCCAGGGTTTCTTCCCTCTCATCCATGACACGGAGAAGAGGCAGCCATCATGGCTGCCATGAAGCTGGGAGGCTGAGACAACAAAGAAATGTGTAGGAGCGGTGTAGATAAACAGTGATTGGAGCTGGGTGATTAATTAATCCAATTAATCAGTGGAACAACTTGCCACCAGAAGTTATAAATGCTCCAATACTGGAAGTTTTTAAGAAGAGATTGGATAACCATTTGTCTGAAGTGGTGTAGGCTTTCCTGCCTAAGCAGGGGGTTGGACTAGAAGACCTCCAAAGTCCTTTCCAACTCTGTTAATTCTATTCTATTTCAAATATTGGAACAGTGCTATTTTATTGTGAGTTGGACTAGGGAGAAATTTCCTAAGGGTGAGGCCAATCAAGTTGACCATGCCCACCCAGTCACATGACCAAGCCACACCCACCAAGCCACACCCACAGAACCAGTAGGGAAAATTTTTGGATTTCACCACTGCATCAGAGCATCTCTAATAGATGATCAGTCAGCCTCTGTAGAAGAACTCTAGTGAATGAGTAATCCCTATGTTGGGTGGCTGAAAACTTGTCCATTGAAGAAATTCTTTCCAATGTCTAGTGTGAAATTCCTTGTTTTTTAACCATTGGTTCTAGTCTTGCCCACTGGAGCAATGAAACAGAAGTCCATTCCAATGGTGGGATTCCAATTTTTTTATACTACTGGTTCTGTGGGCATGGCTTGATGGGCGTGACTTAGTGAGCGTGGCAGGGGAAGGATACTGTAAAATCTCCATTCCCTCCCCAGTCCAGGGGAAGGTCACTGCAAAATCCCTATTCTCTCCCGATCAGCTGGGACTTGGGAGACAGAAAATAGATGGGGGTGGGGCCAGCCAGAGGTGGCATTTACTGGTTCTCCGAACTACTCAAAGTTTCCGCTACCGGTTCTCCAGAACTGGTCCAGAACCTGCTGAATGCACCTCTGGTCCAGAACCTGCTGAATGGACCTGTGGTCCATTCCATTTTCTGTATGTTGATACTTCAGATATTTGAAGATTGCTTTGGTATCTCCCTTGGCTGTCTTTTCTATAGGTAAAACATATCCAGATTATTGAACTGTTTCTCAGTTTGATTTCCAGACTTTTACCTTGTTGATAGCTCTCCTCTGAACCTGTCCCGATTTATCATTGTCCCTTTTAAATTATGGCATTCAGACCTGCACTCAGTATTCCAAATGCCTCGGATAAGGGCAGATGATCCAACGTTTCTTGGATTCATTATTAAACGAATGAAGTAAATAGTTGTTTAACAATATATTAAATACAAAGAATATTCTATATATTTTTATATATTACATACATACACACACACTCGCACACATACACATGTAGAATTTTTCTTAAATCTGACCGGGAAAAGCAGTCTATTGTTACATAAAACAGTTTTACGTAGATTCCTTACAATTCTGTTTTTCATTAGCCAGAAACAGCTCTTGGGATTTTTTGCTGTTACATATTAACACATGTTTCACCCAAATGAACACATCCAAAGGAATGCTGTGTACTGATACCAGATTAAATTAACTGCAAGGGTAAAAGAAGTAAGATACAGGTAGTTCTTGATTCACAAGAGTTCATTTAGGAACCATTCAAAGTTACAACAGCACTAAAAAAAGGGGGACTTATGGCTAATGTTCATACTTATGACTGTTGCAGCGTCCCCATGGTCATGTGACCAAAACTCGGATGCTTGCCAATTGGTTCATGTTTATGACAATTGCAGTGGGGTGACGTGATCACCCCACTGCAATTGAAGAGCCGAGGTGGTGCAGTGGTTAGGGTGCAGTACTGCAGGCCACTTCAGCTGACTGTGATCTACAGTTCAGCGGTTCAAATCTCACCGGCTCAAAGTCGACTCAGCCTTCATGGTATTGGACCTGGGTACTTGAGAGACCGCCTGCTGCTAATTACCTCCCAAAGACCCCTTAGATCGCACAGGGTCGGCCTCCTCCGGGTTCC